TACACCAAAATGCATCTATGCCCAACACATCCAAAAGAACCCATCGAGGATACATTTAGTCATCATTTGGTAGTATTGAGTCTTGTAGTAGTCAGCTGTTTGGAAGTGTTGTGGGCCATCAAATTCGGGCACCGGCCACCAAAATGGTAGCTGGTTGGCTTTGGGATGCCGCAAGCCACCCCAAAGAGACAACGACGCCGAAGGCGCGTGCAGAAAAAGACACCATTTTGCAAGCAAAACCACCATAGCCAGCTGCATATGTGCAGCACAGGCGTTATGTGGCGCGACGCATCCGAAGTAGAGAATGCGTGTATGCATGCGTTCGTTCGGCATGCGTGTTTCAAGAATAGATGATATAGATACCTACTACATACATATTCTCCAGTTGTGCATCCATATGCGCCTTTCTTCCTTCAGCCATTGCTTTGTGGTCCTGATGTGCAAACCCCGATAGATGGAGGGTGTTGCTTCTAGTGGGCAAAAGAAACATCAGAACAATCATCACACTATAAACCCAAGGTTTGAGTATGTGTACAAGAAGGCCAAAGCATTGAACTATATATAGAGGACAGGAGAGCTATTGGTCTTTGGAGAATGTCTCATGAGCCCCTGTGTCTCTGAATCTAAGGTGTTACGTTGCTCGTCGGAGGGAGGCGCGGAAAGCTGCCAACAAATCGCAAGAAACAAGGTTTGAAGGCACCAGGCAAAGTACCGGAAGCTTGGGCAAATGTGAAAGAGCATGCACCGGCACTCAATCACAGACAGATTGCACCGGCACTAGGCGATGGTAAATCTATTTGATAGCACTGACTGATCCGTTGTGCAATGGGATCCTCCAGCCAGTCTAGCGCAAGCATTCGGTTCAACATGGTTATATCGTTGGCCGAGAAACAGTGAGTTGCTCCTGGGATTCTTGGCGGGGCCTTGAGGCTCCGAAGGTGCCCGACCTTCCAGATGCGAATCATGTGGGGGACCTTGTACTTGTAGCATTAGAAAAGGGAAATGTCGCTTTTGGAACCAAGGAAGATTGATGTAGGTGGAGGTACACATGATGGCAGCCCATGGTTTCATCCAAGCACATGCATGGATGAGCTCCCACCAAGGTTGTTTCGCAGATTTCTGAGGCCCGGCCATGTCCTTTTTTGAAGAGATTCAGAGGTCATAAAGGCTTTTGCCGGGGGCACGAGAGTAAACAGGACCTGGAGGTTCTGGGGTCCAGCATGTTGACTTTCAGTTGTCCAGGAAATTTGGGCAACTCATGGCCTGTGGGAATAGGGGCAAGTTGCGGATGCCCTATATAAAGACGAAGGAGCAGTCACCAGCCAAGAAAAGAAACGTTGGACCGTCTTGTCAAGCAAAGGCGCATGAAGAGCGGTACAGAGCGGTGATTGTTTTATTGGAGCGTCTTGTCTCATTCCCCACAATGTGACATGGGCATGTAAAGGATTTTTTGCATTTTATAACTTGTATACACATAAATAAACCTTTTCAAATGGCCTTTCAAAAAGGGGAAGGGGTGCCTACAAATGTAATACAGTATTATATTTGTATATAGGTCCCCCCTCTCCTAAAGGTGGTGATAGTAAAACTGAAGCATCCATGTTGAACTCAATGAGCTTAACTGCGCAGCCCTTGACTGCACGGACTGAATCCTTCTGACCTCGTCTGCCTCATTCCACGGCGCCAGGCCGGTGATTTTCTCAAAGGACAGCCACCGGTGAGACTGCGAGAGCCAGGGGGGAACTGACAGAGCTGGGAAGGTGTTAGAGATGCGGTTGGTGCCAAGAATCCCCAAGTCCATCACACTGATGCGGATTGCCAGACACAAGCGTGGCCTACCAATCTAGGACGGAAAAAATGATTGTTCCCAGAGCTTGCCGGTCTCGCCGGCATCGCTTCGGGTCTCCAAGTGGGACGCTGAGATAAAAAGGTCTGCTCGTTGCAGTGTTCTTTTGTTTCACTGTCGGCTTATGCCCGTAAAACTGAGATTAGCAACAAACACACATCATTTATATACGTGATGAGTGGATTCGAAGAAATGCTGGAACTGCACAGGTGGCCTGAATTGCTTCAGAATGCGGGCCTTTTGCTGAGGCTATTGAAAGAAAATTGATGGTCCATTGAAGGTCCACCCGCAGCTTGTGCTTCAAGCACCCCATGCAGCGACTCCTGTAGCCTCATTTTCAGACATGTCGACGCCTGCAGAGAAGGCAGCAGATGCGAAGCTCAAAGCAGCTTCGGTGGAGGAGCAGGGATGATAGAGATTGCCTGAGAAGAAATTACAGTAACACCATTTAACAAACTAGATACAATTAGGACCTAATTAGGATATCTACCGAATCTACAGTAGGCGTTGCAACTCTGAAGCCACGCATCTACATTGTTTTCATGCACCTGGCATGTGAAGACTATTGAACATTGCTAGCTCAGACCGTGGGCAGACGCCCATGTCCCAAGAGTGAAGGACTCAGTCCTCGACACCCTGTCCATCTACACGATTCGGTTGCTTGCAGCTGATATGGTTGACAAGGCCAGCAGGGGCAATGCAGACATCAAACACCAAGTGCAGAAGGGGATAAACAATGTGTGTGTGTGTGCACCAATGGTTGCCCCCGTCGCCCCGAGCCATTAGAATGGCCACAAATCCTGCAAAAAAGACATGCTCAGGAGGAGACTGTTCATTTCTTTTGACTTGGCAGGCGTCGTCAGGGCACTTGGGAACACCGTTCGGTTGTGCTCCACTGGCCAATGCTTTGCAGCTGGGCAGGTCTGTTAGTTTTGTTTGTTGAAAGGTGGGCAAGAAGAATCTCCTCGAAGGAATTTTGGCAAATAGCTTGACCAAATTATATGTTGGATCATGTTAGTTAATTACTGCATTTGAAGGCATGCGGCATCAAACATCATGAAACCTGAAGAGCTTAATTTCAGGGCTGCTTCACTTGACAATTCTCAGGGAGCAGGCCAGTTACTCAGATCTGGCAGGAGGACAGCAGCTGGCCGTCCAGATCTGCAAAACAAGAGCCCTCCATTATGATTGCCCCTGAATACGTAGCAAAGATGTCCACTGTCTTCGATCAGTTTCTACGGGGGGGAGCCCTCTTTGGTAAATGCGTTGACAGGAGAGTCAGCCTGTGGGTCCTGTCGCCTAGGTGGGGCAAGATCATGCGCTTTTCACCCTTTCAGAGGCTGGTGCCGTGTGTGGACGAGTGTAGCAACGAGCGCGATGCCACGAACTGGGTCATCCGGAAGCGGTTCGGATCAAGCCGAAGGGCTTTGGATCCCGGTGGTTTGAATCGCAAAAATCCCTTGTCGACCCCCCAAAAAGGAAGATCGAATGATCGAATCGCAGGTGGCTGAACCGCGACCGTTTTGTGCCTTGGCGTGATGCTCGTGGAGCGCAATACGTGCATTGTAACCATGGAAGATAACATGACTAGTGAATAGTGCTTGTGTCACCGTTCACGGATCATTCTCAGACGATTGTTTGGTGTGATTTGTATGTGTCCTATGTGTACGTGAGCATTTGCATGTTGAATCGAAGTCATGCAAGCACATTTGCCGTGCACATGGAATGTCATGGACCTTGGTTTGGCTGCTGAAACGCCTTGGGCCCGGCCCCCCGAACAAAACTACATATATGATATATGCCCAGGCAAGAGGCGGCCCCAAACAGTGTTCAGTTGAACAAAAGCTATGTGCACATGTGTGCACAACATACTGCAGCAGCTTTTTTTTGCATGCACATAGCGGGGCTGGGGCTGCAGGTGTCATAGCTTTGCGGTTCATATGAGCGTACATGAGACCACACATATGAAAGCAAACCAAGGCACAGGGCGGACCTCCGAAGCATCCAAGCGACCTGAGGTGCTCTCCGCAGGCCATGCCAGCGCCCTCCTCTACGTGATGCTGCACTTGACTGGCAATGGACTTGGAGGTCCTTACGAATCCTGTTCTCAAGGGGTGTTCAGGTGTCACACCAAGGTGGGCTGGGCGTTTGGAGCTCAAGATGCTGCTTCTTTGGGCTTTAGTTTTGTTCATCGATGATCTTGATGTATGGATCTTGGATCATACTATCACGCTGCTGCATTCTTGCAAACTAAGGTAGGCTTTGTAAACCGAACCTTCATCATTCGTCCTGACATTCGACATTGGGAGGTCACCCGATGCATGCCCACTCAGGAGGTGTCCATGGAGCGTCTACAGCAGTTTCGGCAAGCAGGCAGCCGCCAATCACAATGGGGTGGGGCAGTCCTAAGGCTCTAAAAAGCAACGAAGTAAGAAAAAGACCATCAGAGAGTCAATACTACGTAGACTCCAGGCATACAAGACCGGTTTGTACCAAGTCGTTCAGTTTCTTCGCATGAAAAGACTGCCTCCAGCTGCCAGCTGTGTGTCACTTGTTGAATTTCCATGAATTTCCTGGGATTGATTGTTGTCGTGGTTCAATGTTGTAAATTGAGCAAGTGGGCAAGATTCTTTGGTTGAAAAGGAGTTTGATTGAACATGTTGCTGAAGGCTGCGGCCACGCAACATGTGACAATGTAACCATGCGATGCCACTACGCTTTCTCTCTTTGAGAATGAACATGAAGCCAAGAATCTCCGATTCGCAGGCAGCAGCACCCCTGGACACCCGGAGTTCCGAATGACCAGCGGGGTGGAAGTCACGACTGGGCCCTTGGGGCAGGGCTTTGCCAATGCTGTAGGCTGGACATGGCGCTGAGACGGAGGAGAGAGAACAGCGGTTTTTTTGTGAACATCCCCCCCTGACACGCACATGTTCCAGACTCCAGACATACAGAACTGTGATGAACCGTGTTTATAGATGTCTATAGCTTTTTATAACATAGTCATGTTTTTGCTTGGGTGACCAGAACATTTACAGAGAGGGAGGGAGGGAGGGAGAGAGAACAAACAGAGAATGATCAAACAAGAATGTTTTCACTTTTTCGATCTTTTTCGGGTCATCCCCTTTTCCTGGTCCAGCGATTCGTTCGAGGCATGGCCATCGCTGAAGCCCATTTGGCTGCTCGATTCAACAAGGATGGCTTTCCTCTTTTTGACAACTACACCTATGTCCTTGCGGGCGATGGCTGCCTTATGGCTGCTTGGCGAATGCTTCGTACATGCGAGTCGATGAGCGTGGGTTGGCCCTCGTGGGTGGGAGGAGATGGCCATTTGCATGAGTTGAACAGAGCAAGACTGATTGCGTATTCGTTTCTGATCATGCACGTTCAGTTCATTTCAAAGGGTGTTGGGAGCGAGGGGCAGGTCGTTGGGGGCCAAACCAAGTGTGCTCAGGAAGGCGTATGCTCAGAGGCTGCCTCCTTGGCTGGACATTTGAAGTTGCACAAGCTCATCGTTTTCTATGATGAGACTTGACTGCTAGCTGCTAGCTATGAATCATAATGAACCGAACTACTTACTATGCAGTGCTCTCCGATGTGTCCATGTGGCCAAGGACAACAAGGTCACCATCGATGGAGGAACGAACCTGGCCTTCAGCGAAGACACGGCACAAATCTTCGCTGCCAAGGCGAACGTCCAGAGCTGCACACTATGCTTCACTGGCTTCACGCCTTTCACTTGCTTCATACACGTTGAGGTCCAAATTATTCTTCGAGCAATCTGGATTCTGTTTGACAGCTGTACTTTGCAGATCCAACTTCGGGCGACTGTAGAGTTTCTTTGGGACATATTTCCAGGCCAACCACCAACCTATACTGCAGACTTCCTATGACTATACTAATTCTCTTGTAGCACAGGAGTTGAGTGAAGTGAAGAGTTGAAAGTTGAGAGCATTGGCCAGAAGAGGCCAAAATGAAACCCTGGTCTAACTCAAACTCTGAGCCAGTTGCGGCTGCCTATTCTACTGGTCTACTTGCGTTTCGAACCTTCGGCGTGCCACTGCCACACGATGGACGGTTCGAAAGGTGAGCTGACCGGTGTAGACAAATGTAGACAGATGTGAGGGTCGTAGGATCATGAGCATGTATGATCCATGTATGTAATTAGACAATGTAGACGAATGAATGCTTTTTGTTATTTGGTGGCGTGCTCAAGTATTGCTTACTGAATGTGAGAAATTTGTGCCACATGCGCCAGGGCTGGAACGTGCTCCATATCCCCAATGGGGACTCCCACGACCCTGCAGTTTATGAGAAAGCTGTGAACGAGGCAAGGGCACGGAGAGGGAAAGACTGGCAGCCTTTGAAGACGCGCACTTCGCCTGAACGCGCTTGCACGGCCCTTGTTGTCAGAACAACCCCTTGGGCGGCGGTCACTGCAGGTACACAGAGCAACTTTGCATCATAGTCATTGGTCATAGTCATAGTGTTAGCTTGCATACCGAAACTGGAAGTGTGCTCCGCCTGCGGCGACATCACGTTCTTGGGTTGGTCACAGCAAAAAGGGCTCAACCGATGCCAAACTAACTTTGGAGCCAGAATCTACTGTAGATGAGGTCATTCAAGTATGGTGAGGTTGATTGGGCGCGGGGGTTCAGGGTGTCGTGTCTGTGAGGCCAAGGCGCAAACAGAAAAGCCCAGCATCATCATCATGCGCACCACCATTGGCTGTGGGAGCGGCCCTGCAATAGAAGGCCGAGAGAGGTTTCGGTCTTTGGACTGCCCTTGGCTTGCACAGCTGGTGTTGCCCCAATAAGGCATGCCAGGCGGCAATCACGTTGTGTGTTCCCAGTGTGTGCGACTCGTTCTTTCCATCCATTGCATACTCACATGTTGATTCACGCCATTTATATAGTTGAGAATTTATGATCGGAACACCACCGAGAAGGGGCTGTTGAAAGGGACTGGGCCTTCATTCCACCTGAAAGCAACGAGCAAAGGGGAGGGCAGGAAGGGAATGGGAAAAGGGAAAGGGAAGGAAAGGGGAGAAAGGATGGGAAAGAGCGGAAAGGAAGAGGAGAAGAGGTAACAGATAAATTTATCAAGGAGGCATAGAATTATGTGGAAAACAGAAGCAAGGGAAAGACAAAGAAAAGCAAAGCCCCCTACAACGTTTGGGGCGCCTCGTTGAGCCAGCAAGAGAGCTAAGCCAGCACAGAGAGAGAAAGAGAGAGGAGAGAGAGAGAGAGAGACACAGTCAGACAGCAATAAAGAAAGCAAGCAAGAAAGACAGAAAGAAAAAAAGAGATGGCAATGCCTTTGGGGCGCACGTTCCGAGCAACTGCTACTGCCCAAGGGTTGTGCAAATTTGTAGAAAGTTGTACATGGACAGCTTAACAATGTTTTTGTTGAGCGTTTGAATGCAGGCAAGGCCAAAGCACACGGAGGCAAATTCTCCAACATCGAGGTGAGCTTGACATACGCGGGCATTTTGGACCCATTTGCATTTGTGTCCATGTGTACAGGTTTGGCCTGGAACAAACGCAAGGCATTTGGGATTGGGCCCTGCTCCATGGGGGTTCAATCTGGAAAGTGAACAGACAGATGGATGTTGTTACTTGGGGTCTCACAGATTCTTCGCAGCGGGGTGCCCAAGACCAAACACTCTCGTCCGGCAAAAGCTTACCTCAAATGTAGGCGGGGATCTATGGTTAAAGTGTGGCTTTGAGGGCTTATCATTGGCCAGTTCATGCTTGCCCTATCAGGAGATCCGCTCGCGCTACTTCTCCCCTGAAGGCCTGAGAAAGAGCTTCTTGGTTTAATCAGGTTTCCGGGAAGACTGGTGAGTTGAAGGTGAAATGATGTGGAGAGTCTTGAACTTTTCCGGGTTGTCATTTGTGTCGAGTGAGTGAGTATCATATACTTCAATGCAACATTTGCAGATTCGGATTTTTATTTGGCCTCCACCGACAGCGCGCCATGCATGCGGGTGACCGTTGGCTCCACAGCGGAGAATTGCGAAGCCTGGCTGATTGAGTTGGAGGTGCCAGAAAAGACCACCGTCGCTTCTTTGAAGAAAATCCTCCGGAAGCCACCCCACTGCCTTGAGGTCTCCGCCAGCACCAAGGTGTTGTTTCGTAACAATGGAGTTCTCACGACGCTCTTTGACAAAGAGCTGGTGCATAGCCATGTCACTTTGCTAAATGTGCGAGACGACAAGGTCTTTACCTTTCCTGAAAATTTCCTGTGGGGAGCTGCGACTGCGGCGTATCAGATCGAAGGTGCAGCAGCAAAGGAGGGGCGAAGTCCCAGCATTTGGGATGCCTTCTGCGCAGTGCCTGGCAAGATCCAGAATGGGGACTCCGGAGCCACTGCCTGTGAGCACTACTACAGATATTCCGACGATGTGCAGCTCATGAAGGACCTGGGCCTACGAGCCTATCGTTTCTCCATTTCATGGTCCAGGCTGTTACCGCAGGGTCGAGGGAGGCTAAATCCTAGAGCCTTTGACTTCTACAGCTCTTTGCTCTCAGAGCTGTGCACCTCAGGGATCACTCCCATAGTGACCTTGTACCATTGGGATTTGCCACAATGCTTGGAGGAAGAGTATGGAGGATGGCTCTCCGCCAAAATCATCCCGGACTTTGAGGCCTTTGCTTCAACTTGTTTCCAGTGTTTTGGAACTTTTGTGAAGCATTGGATCACCTTGAATGAGCCCTGGTGTTGCTGCGCTCTGGGCTACGGCAGCGGGGAGCATGCACCAGGTAAGTCCTCCAATGCTGGCCAGGAGCCATACTTGGCGGCACATCACATGCTTTTGGCTCATGGAAGGGCTGTGAAGTGTTATCGAGATCAATATCAGGCGGAGCAAGGAGGCCTCATAGGCCTTACTCTGAATATGGACTGGAAAGAACCCATGAGCGCCTCCGAGGCCGACCGACAAGCACAAGCTCGTGCCTTGGACTGGCAGCTGGGCTGGTTCGCCGATCCGGTCTACAAAGGTGATTACCCGGAGGCGATGCGAGCGAGGTGCAGGGATCGCCTGCCCAGTTTTTCCAAAGAGGAGCAAGCCCTGCTTTTGGGCTCCTCAGACTTCTTCGGTTTGAATCACTACTCCACCGACTTCGTGTCGGGCGAGGAGAAAGGAAGTGAAACGACCGAGAATTATTTTGCGGACCAGGGTGTGAAAAACACATCCGATCCCAGGTGGCTTCGAACAGATATGGGCTGGGATGTAGTCCCATGGGGCTTTGAGAGGCTCCTCAACTGGATTCAGAAGGTCTACTCTCCCAAGGGTGGGATTCTGGTTACTGAGAACGGCTGCGCCGTTCGAGAGACCACTGAACAGGATGCCATCAACGACTCCTTTCGGATTGAATATTTGCAAGGATACCTGTCGCAGATGCACAAGGCCATGGCTAATGGAGTGGATGTCAAGGGTTATCTTGTTTGGTCTTTCATGGACAACTTTGAGTGGGCTTTTGGATATGCCAAGCGTTTCGGCATTGTGCGGGTAGACTTCGAGAGTCAGCAGCGCACGGTGAAGGACTCAGGCAGATTGTTCCGGACCTTATGCAAGGAGAACAAGCTGAAGGTTCCCTCCCGTGTCCTCGCCTCTGCCGAGTTTGTGCCATTCAATGGACGAGTGGAAGAGACCACCCCGAGTGGGAGCAGGGCGGGATACGCTGGGCGGCCACAAATGCCACAGCTGTCCAAAGATGATGCCCAGAGAATGCTGGAAGACTTCTGCAACAAATATGAGAACGAGAAGTTTCAGAACCAAATGGTGCATGTTTACCAACAATTTATGATTCATAATGATGAGATGCGTCTCTTGAAAGAAAGGCGGCGCTTGTGCTTTCCCATCCAGATGGAGATCCTCCCCAAGTACGGCTTTGAGCCCACCAGTCGTGGCGTCAGCCAAGTGCAAGCCGCTTTGACCGCTCCCAGGCTCACGGAGGATCCCCGCATCGAACAGCTGAACCACTATGTGGTCTACCTCACCGGTGAGATGCCCAGGGAGAAAGCCGCCGAAGGGGCAACCGTTTAGAGTGGAAAAGGGAGCGGCCACCGGGCGACAGAAAAGAGTTAAGAGTGCTAAGACAGAAGTGGGATGGCTGCGTTCATTTGTATTCCGAACATTCCACACGTCTAAAAGGCTTCATGCATCCATGCAGGAGTCACTTGGGGGAATCCCGGACCAGCTGGGCGAAATCACCAGTCTCCGTCTCCCACCGTGGAGCAAAATCGAAGGCTCCAATCCGATGGACCAACGGATCGCAGAGCTGGTGGATGAGGAGCTGAGCTCTTTGAACGGGAGCGCTGGACCTGTCTTTTGGCGTCAAGGGAGAGAGGAAATGGAACTCGCATGAACTCGGTGATAGCCACGAAGACTAACACTATCTAGATCTATCTAGCACTGCGGATGCTTTGCTAATTTGCCAAATGGGGCGGAACCGGTTGTAATTCAGGCTGGTGATCGCACCAAACCGCCCCAGCTCACCCGACCACTAAAGCAAGGTGCCCTGCAGCCAAACAGACGCCACCGGCATGTCCATCCATGTCCTGTTTCAGAGACCTCGTGCACGGTGAGTTCAAGGTTTATGACAGACTCCTTACTGCTGCATGCTCAGGTCCTGCCAAAGTTCTATGTTCCCAAAGCGGCAGCTTGGCCCGAGGCGATCACGAAGAAATCCGCTCAAAAAACCCTACCGCTCGAGCTGAGGTTCTGAAGAAGTTTCGTAGCCGTGGAGACTATGGAGACGAGTTGGCCTGTGAGCCTTTCCGAAATTGATGACTCTACTACTTGTATAGCACCAATTAGTAGGAAAAGCGAGAGAGAGAGAGAGAGAGAAAGAAAGAAACAAACAAAGAAAGAAAGGGGGGAGTCTTTTGACATTTGCCTCAGTGGCATGCTCCTGTGATCTCCTGGCTCCTGACATCGCCAAGATCGGTCCGCTCCAGTTGGTGGGTGCGATGCGTGGTGCGATATCTAAAAGAATGAAAAGATATGAACCGAGTTGAAAAGACATCAAGAAAATCAAGATGGCCAGGTGCTGTTTCAGGAGGTTATAGTTGTCGTGGTTTCGGAAGGTTTAGGTGACATTTTCACTTGAGCATGGTTTGTCGGTAACTCGGGACACAGCAAGTAAGGGCAAGTCTTCCATTGAACGGTCTGTTTTGCTCCCTCCCCTATGTGACAAAGTACCACACAGCAATTTCTGTTTGGTCACTGCCATTCGATTGTCAACGTTACAAGTTACAAGTATGGTGCTGAACTTTGCCCCATTTCGTGTTGCTGTCCGAGGAGTGGAATCGTATGGTGGGAAAATATTGCAGAACATTCAGGGAAAGTGATCCTGAATTGGTTCAAGACTTGGAGGAGAGTCGGGTTGTGATCCTGAAACTGTGAAGCCAAAAGCACGCCAGGGCTGCTCAGGATGGACCTGGAACATCCTTGAGCGCATTTGGAGGCATTCACCCTGACCTTCACCCAAAAAATAGATTCAGAAGATGTATTGAATTTTAGATCACTATTCAAGCCATGACGCAAGCCGCTTGCGCATTTGAGATCATTTATGTAGGTACTGTGTTTGAATGTTTTTGAACGGTGTGCTGTAGCGAGCTCTAGGATCGTATGCGCGGGAAATATCTGTCAGATGACTGGAAAGCTGTGCTGGACGAGTACTTGCGCAAGGACAGCAGTGAAGCCAATGATGTTTTTCTTCAATTCAGACATGCATTTTGTGTGACCGCATCAAGCTGCACGGGGCAACGCTGCCGTGAAAATGAGCAATTGACTGATTGAGGAAACAAAGACCTTAGATTCAAAGTTGGGCACTTTGCTGAACATGGCACTTTTGCCGGCATTATTTGTTGGTGCATGTCGGTGCTGTGCTATGGCACCTGTGCCATAATGCCATGTCCGGGTTTGCATGATGTTTGGGTCTTTGGCTTGGCTGAGAAGACGATGAACATCATGCAACATAATAAGGATTCACGTTCAGTAAAATCATTGTGTATGTCCGTCGCAGAGTGCTATTACTACCCCTCCCCCGAAAGAACAGCTCACAAGGGCTTTCGGAAGGCAATTATTTGCACTGGCCACTTGTGCAAGAGGCAGTTGCAGCCATAAGTTTGCAGATTTGTTCTGCTTGAGCTAAGGCAGAGACAAAGGAAGAAGAGCCAAGACCCCCCTTCAAGCGTTCCTCAGCCTTCAAGCAGAGAGGATGACAGAGGTGATTCATGAGCGTGACACCCAACTAAGCTGGCATGAGAGTGAGGTGATTCATGTTGGCGAATCATGAAGACGAAAACCTCCAACTTGCTACAGCCTTGGCATCTCATTCAGGCCTGAAGTCTGATGGCGTCATCGGCTTCAAGAACAAAGCTGGGAGAGTTTACGCGAGTGAGGTTCTGAAGTGTATGGCCAGAACCTCAGGGTTTGGCTGGGTGCTTTAATCGAACCAATGTGTTCGGCATCACTGAGGCTCAGCGTTTATCAATCGGTTTGTTTAATGTATTGCTGCATGCGGACCGTTTCCATGGTGGCTTGCGACATAAAACCTCCCCCGATGTGCATCACAAAGGTTGAACACAACGCGGCCATCATCGGTGGTGCTGCTGATGTGTCCGGACAGGTCATTAATTATTCACTAACCACACTTACCCAGTTTTGGGCGATGAGCACTGTCACCATGAGCAAGCTGCGAGATGACCATCAATCAAGTCTAGTCAAGTTATAATTGTGTAGCGGTTTTGGAAGGTTTGGAGATGTGGCCAAAGTTTTCCCGTGCGCATTGTACGTGTGTAATTAAGTGAATCACTATAAACTTATGGAATCCCAGGTGGCGTCTTCTTGTGGTAGCCACTTTCCAGAACTTCAAGGACATTTCCTTCCGCCATCCCGTGGACAAGGACTAGATGGCGCAAGTGTCTTGCCAACATTGACTGCCCCACCGTTCATTTGTCAAGCTGTATGGGCCACATACCCAAGCTAAGGCTATGCTGGAAGGTACATTCACTTTGGTGTCAGAGAGCACGCGATGCTCGCGATTTTGACACCTGGCGAAATGGGTAGAGTAGCTTCACCAGCGGCAGATCATGGCGGATCCACAGATTTGACACTCAAGTGTCAGACTTTTGTTTGGTCCGGTGCTCATGAAGACAACTAATGTGTTCAATGTCATTTGCTTCCAAAGCTGGGCGGCTTGTGTCCACACCAGAACGAATAAACACCAGGAATGGAATTTGCTCCTATTCGCTCATGATTCCATACGGCGTCACCTTCACGGTGTTCTTCCAGTATGGCTTGCCTGCGATTCGTATGGCTGCCATCTCTAAGTACCTTGGCCCGTCCTTTTCTGTCGCGAAAAACTGTAAGCATGTCAAGTTCTGGCTCATCAAGCTGACGTGGAGAGGTGTCGTGTTGATTGCACAAAGCACCATTGACTATGCCAACTGCAACGCAAGGTCACCCAAATACAAAATATATCTATTCCAGTGAGCAAACAGCGGAAAAGCGCACATGAACGAAAAGCGAACCTTTTCCTTTCTAGTGGCGGCTCGATCAGAAAGGCAGCTGACATTCAGCAACCTCGAACTTGGTGTTCGTGAACAAATGACGTTCATGAACTGCTTCCTCAAACACTCCCCCTTTGGCCTTTCGGTAGGAAGTGCCAACATTCATTCTTTTCTTCCAAAATCGGCCTTGATGGCCTGTGTTCAGCTCAAACTGCCTTTTCATCCTTCTTGCGTTCTGCATCTCGAGCACGGTGTGAACCGTAGGAGATCCACGATCCCGAGGTTGGCACAGCTTCGGCTCGAGTGCACTGAAGCACCCCATGAGCTGCACCACAAGGTCACATTGGTTGGTGTTCCTCGATTGGCCTTGCAAAGGCCACACCATGGAGACTGGCGAGCTTCACCAGTCCTCGGTGCCTTCAAGTAGTCACATTCTCTGGTTCGGTGGTGAACTTTCCCGAACCGCGTTGTGAGAACCACTTCTTCCTCTTCTTCTTCTTTTCCTTTCCTGCTTCGACTTCCTCCGGCCTGAGCTGCCGGTGGCATGGTGGTGGCTTCTTTTGAATCCCTTTCTTCTTTCTCCTTCTTTCTTCGCTTCTCTTCTTCCTCCTCTTTTTCCTTTAGCTGTCGCTTCTCATCTTCCTCTTCTTCCTCTTTCTTCCTTCGCTTCTCTTCTTCCTCTTCTTTCTCTTTTTGTGTCATCTGTTGGCTCAAGGATTCCATTGGAATCAGCTGTTGGGGAACATATGGCCTTCCCCAAATCAAAACTGGCGTGAGTGGAACCTGTTGGTCCCTCGGAGTGAGAGGCACTGAAGACGGAGTTGGATATGGAGACGGAGGCAATGGAGACTGAGTGGGAGATGGAAGATAGGTGGGCCGGACAACTTCTTCTTCACTTTCCTCCTCATCCTTCTGCTTCTTGGCTGCTTTCATCTTCGTCCTTCGGTCTGGTGTTCTGGGAGGACTTCGCTGTTCACGACCAACATCACTTCGTGATTGGCGATTTCTTCCAGCTACTCCCTCCTTCAGATACCAGACCATGGAGGTCAGCATGACCACGATCAGGGTGTATAGAAACACCATCCAGCCAAGATGAACATCACTTTCTTCTTCACCATCAACTCCCCCTTGGCCTTCTGCTATCGAAATCGTAGCTGCCAGGGTGAGCAACCTGAGGACAGTGGCTGCTTTGTGCTTGTTTTGCAAGCCTTCTTCCTTCTCTTGACCTTCTTCCTTTTTCTCCTCCTTCTTTAGCTCCTCAACTTCTTTTCCACTTTCTTTCTCATCTTCAATCGACCTCACATTCATCCTCTTCTTCAAATCCTCCAAGCGCGAGGCAGCAAGGGCTTTGGTGCCAATGTCGGCGACCATGACATCACCTGGGAGATGATGGATTCCCCAGGATCCCTCTTGAATGGCTTGTCTTGCGTAGGATGCCCTCGTTCTTAGGTGTCTGGTTCTCCAGGATCCCCCCTCATTCACGAGGATTGCAAGGCCGCTTTGGCTATCGGTCCATGCAAGATGAGG